ACTGGTACCATTTGCCTCTTAGGCAATCCTTCATCATCTCTTCCCCCTCCCCAATCTCACCTCCACCAGCACCTAGGCCACCGATCTATCGTTCCCCTCAGACAGAACGTTGCAGTATTTTGAGTTGTACTTCACTCACCACCAGGGGCAACACTGGACCTTCTCTCTTAGACTTGAGTTGTCTCGAGGCCAGCTAGTGGAGCCTTACTAGAGACATACACATTTTGGCCTATCTTAGTCGGGTTGACCGCCGAACCCGATCTCACCTTGTCAATTATTCTCATTCGTCTCAAAACAAGTATCAGGATGTACTACAATTGATGGTATTCAGGCTCTTAGGGGATTTTGTTTATCCTCGTGTTGTTGAGGAGTCTCAACTTCACACCACTAGCCCTCGTCGGCCTGTCTTCGTTACTTTAGGTGACAACGGGACAAAGTGCAGCTTATATTAGACAATTTCATACCTCTTGTGCTCCCGACCTCTACAGATGTCAGACAATCCTTGGCGAGCTCCATGCCTCTTCTCCGCAGCACATTTCGATATCATCGAGATAGGCTACGACTTTGTCCTTGGCGACAGTTCCACTCAGCTACTGTTCATTGGAAAACTGATTTGCTTGTTGTTACAATTAAGTGTGGTTTTGTCCTTCACATTCCCTTCTTAGATATGATGGTTGACATTCCTCCTCATCTTACTGTCAAGAATCTTTGACCCTCTCTTCCCCACACCTATGTGGATTTTAAGACGGCGACAAGACGGTCCGATCGAGACTGGCCATTATGATGGGCCGTTCGAATGGTCGTTCGAGGACAAAAAGGTCCCTAGAAATGGGGGATTATGGGGGTTAACGAAAGGGTTTGTGGTTCTTCCCCCCTCCCTGCCTATCACGAAAAAAAAAAAAAAAGATTTTTTTGGGGGGGGAGGGGAGAGTCTGGGGATAGAGGGTGTTGGGGAGGAAAAAAAGAAATCTATCTGTCTATCTATCTATCTATCTATCACGGCCATTTCGTCAAAATGGACATCTTTTATTTTTTGAACGAAATTGAAACCGAGTTTTTTTGCCGAAAACTCGTGAAAATTTGTTGTTCCTGAGGGTCCGGCGTTTGTAAAACGCTGGACCCCTTGGCTGTACATGAACCAAGCTTGAGACCAGGAACATCCAGGCAGTGTAAAACGCTAGACCCCCTGACTGTACATGGACCTAGCTTGAGACCAGGGACATCCAGGCATGACTGCCTGGATGTCCCTGGTCTCAAGCTTGGTCCATGTACAGCCAGGGGGTCCAGCGTTTTACAAACACCGGACCCTCAGGAACAACAAATTTTCACGAGTTTTCGGTAAAAAAACTCGGTTTCAATTTCATTCAAAAAATAAAAGATGTCCATTTTGACGAAATGGCAGTTTTCTCTCTCTCTCTCTCTCTCTCTCTCTCTCTCTCTCTCTCTCT